TTTTAAAAAGCATTCATTATAAAGGCAAAGTTAATAGCTTTTATTTAAGGTTCAAGAAATCCTATAGAGGAATAAAATAAAAATTAGCAGTTAGGCACTGGAATGGAGGTACCTTAAGGCGACACAAGCCACAAGCAAGAGTGCTGGCAAGGTTCACAGAGTGCCAGAGGCTTTACTTAGAAGTGATAAGACCTATTTATTATGGCTTGTTGCCTGTCATTTGCTGGTTACTACTTCTTTGCTGGCCACTTCTCCCTGCCCTGCTTTCCCATGGACAGCTTCTCCTCTGTGGTATCTGTCTGCTAGTCACCCTGCGGTGGAGCCAGCCAACTATAAAGTGAGCCAAATAAGCCTTTCCTCTTTTAACTTTGGGTGTTGGGTAACATTGTCTTAGCAATGAGAAAAGTAGCTAAGACATCAGCAATACCTTGACACACTCTCATTAGCTCTGCATCAATTCTTTCTTTAAGGTACAGTTCAATGTGAGAGCACCAGTTTTGTGGTTCCCAAGACTCCTTAAAGGTACTACGTGGTTTCTCAGGACTTTCTGTTTGAAGGCTTAATTGTAGTAGGAAAGCAGTAACAGTCTATACACGTCTGATCCTACCTCTAAGTAGCCGTTGTGGAAGAATGTGTTCTAGAAAATTACGTATTCTTGGAACATAAAGCCAGAGTCTGAAAGCCTAAACCATGGCATGTTCATTGCATCATTTCAGTACTGATTCAGCCCTCCCCCCGCAATTACAGATTCAATTATTTAGTTCTGGAAAAAAAAAACCCTCACACAGAATATGCAAAATATACACATATGCAAAGATATGAATTAATGCATCTAACATTTCTGTATAACATAATTATACATTTATGTATAAATACATATATATGACACATTATAATGAGCTATTAAGACTCAATTAAAAAGTTGTTGGAATTCTTTTTAAAAATGTATTTGGTTGTTACAGGGTCGCACTACATAGCTTGGACTTGTGGTGATCCTCCTGGGAGGCTTTCAGCCTCCCCAGCACTGGGCTTGCAGGCATGTGCCACTATACCCAGACTCTGGCTGCCTCAGTCCACCCTGGGGGTGGGGCTGGGGTGGCCTGTGGTACTGGAGATCTAACTGTAGTCCCGGCTCTCGCCTAAGCTTACCTAAGCAGATGTTTTAGTCCACTGAGCTATCTGGCCAGCCCTAAAAAGTTGTTGGATTTTATAAAAAAAAAAAAAAAAAAAAAAAAAAAACTCAATAAGAAAAAGTATTAAACACAGAAAAAAATCAGTGGAATGCCAAAAAAAGATCCCTACCCATCCACCCCAAAATAAAACCTTTAAAATTTTTCTAAAGAGATCCATTTTGATGGACTCAGGGTGTGTGTACTTAAAATTTGTATTACAGTAATTAAATATATTCTAAGTAAAACCTCGAAGTAGCAATAAATAACAAATAGCTAATCCTAGCAAGAAATGTATATGAAAGTACTAAATTAGGAAATGCTATAGCAAAAAATCTAAAGATTATAAATAAGTGAATTTTTCTAAAATGTATAGATTTACAAAGACAACAATATGCAATGTATTAATTATTGTAACTGAGTGCCTCCCCCACCCCGCCCGCCGAGTAGGATTCTATGCCGAGTTCCGGGAGCCCCCAGACCCAGTCCTAGCCCACGTCCGGTGAGTGTGCGGAGAGCTTCCTGCT